GGTTTTTATTTTCCACAAAAGATGGAAAATATTTTCTTTTCTAGGTAAAATCAAACACACTCTAAGAGTAAACTCGAAAAAAATAATAAAATTTTGTACTAATATTATGAATTATTCATTTCTTATGATGCAAAAATTTATTTGGCAAAAAATTGCAATCTTGTTCCTTGAAAGTTTAAAATTACAAAATGGCCCCAAACTTGCCAAAAATTGCAATAATACCACTGAAACTTATTGAGCTCTTGTTTGATCACCATAATTTTAAAAAATACGTTTTTCTCTTTCTTATTTCCAATTATATATTCTTCAATAAATTAATATTATACACTAATCTAAAACATTTTCTTATTTTTAACAACACATTATCTATCAAAATACTATTCCAAAATTACATTTTAGGCAAACAATGGAGTTCCAACAGGCTTTGACTTGTAAGCTTAGGATGGTCCTTAAAATGGTATTTCCTGTATTCGAATTCAACTTCAAAATTTTCCTAAATTGCAATTTGATGCCTCAACTTTTCACAAATTGCAAGTTTTGCCAAATATATATTCTAGCAACCAACACCTATACTTTCCACTAATGCTTCATCCATCAATTTAAATAATAAATTAGAAAAATTGGGGAATTTTGGACTTGTTCAGAGTAAAATAAGAAAAAAAAATACTTTTTTCTCAACACATTTTTAACCACACATTTTATAAGATTCACGGCTTGTCGGCTACTTTACAACTACCCATCTACCAAAAAATAAATTCTCACTTTAAAAAGTCTATATCAAACAAGGGCTGTATTAGTCCAACTTTGTCTTAGTCAAACTATCTAAGTCATTTTGGTGTCATTTGCAACACAATAATTCTAGGAAGATGTCCCCCTGCAATTACTCTTTGGAACAATGAAAACCATAACCATGAACTCCAAGTCACATGAATGTATATAGTGGTGCACGTGCGAATTTATTTTGGGCTCGAAACTCTTCTACTGTGAACATAAGCACTTTAAGAGCCCCATGTGTCTCCGTACTTGTGTGCATTGCTAGCCTTGTTGTGATTTGATTTAGAGTTTCTAACACTAAAAGATAAAATAAAAAAACTCATTATTTATAATGAGAACAAATCCAGTGCATAGATCCACAACAAAGAAGTAACGGCTACTAATCGTAGTCAAATTATTACAATCTCGTAAACACGTCCAACATTTCATCTTATTTTCGACATTCAAATGTGTCTATAATGTATAACAAAAACTCAATGATACAGTTAAAATGATAGTCTTCTTTCCCCTTTGTTAGCAAGATATATTTGCATCCCCATCTTTCACCACAACCTATTAGCGAAGCTCCAAACATCAACAATATTAGCATATACATGCATGAGTGAATGAGTGAATAATGGCAAGAGAAATGCATGGCTAATTGATATCATAATGAATATTCAACCCCAACTCTTAACCCAAACTACAGATATTTCAAAAACTTATATTTTCCGTAGTCTTTTAGCGTGACTATATTTTCTAATTCTCCTTTATTTCGGCAAGATACTGTTGGGAATCTACTTAAACATGCGCAACGAAAAATAAAACAATTTTCGATTCCCACCACGGATCTCTTTGTATTTAGATAGAAATTGTGATAAAAAGTCATATCTTTTTTCTAGATCTGGAAACCGCTTTGCTTTTTCTTTGTTCCAGCAACCTTGATTTGCCTCCCATAGCTATCCAATTGTCCAGCTTCCAACGGTAATCCACACAGAGAACAAAATTGTAGGATTAAGATTTTCTTTCTTGTGCTAGCGAGAAGAATGAATTTTCTCTATAGATTTTGAAAATCTTAGTCATATTTATATAAGTCCAAACGGGCTTGACCTAACGCGGTCCAATATTTAATTAACTCATTTGATTAAATTGGGTTCGTCCAATTAATTAATTAAGGCATATAAATAAGCAACCCAATTAATTAATTTATTCAACGCTTATTAAATTAATTAATTGACAAATCACAATCTTCCAATTCTCCTTTTGTGTGCGACCCATCAGGTTCCCGATCACGATACCTAACAATGTGAAATATTATTTTGATTTAATCAAAATTGAAAAATTAAAACATTATTTTAATTTATCACCAATTTACACTTGTCGTCCTAGATTGACGTGTAATAATGTGTCAGGACAATACATGTGACGAAAAATATCACGTGGTATGATAAAACCAAACTCGTTCGTTTATCGTGAAACTATAATCCCTTTATGAGATATGAAAGTATGTCAATCTCGATTATCGATCATATCTTTCACTTTGCTATTAAGTCAATATGAGTTGAAAACTTCTTTTCGACTTATGAGTACATCTTAATCAAGGATTTCGTTATCGACTTAATTAAATGAAATGCAGATCATAATATCTTACCATCTAAGAGTGACGAATCATCTATTGGTCATTCATAACCTTCATACGATTCTTGACATACTCGAACGATACCATATTAGCGGCCCTTGGCAAAGTAACATCCAACACTGTCAAAGCATGACTGTCCTCATATAAGGTACTATGACGACCTCAAATCAAAAGATCAATCCCACTACTGAACGTTAAAGATTAACCACTGACACTTGAATAATTTTCAATGTAGAATCTCTCGGCGGGTTCCAATATTTTGTTCTATAACAAAACATTCACGTGTTCATTTAAGTGTCACCACACTTTAACTTCTGAGATCAGCTACTTACTTCATAAGTAAGAAATGCCACACATGATGGTTTATCCATAAGAACGATATCCGTATCTCATCATTACTTACGACCACGAATGATTTAAGATTAAATCATATGTAATTTGTATCTCACAATCACAACTTCTTGTAATTAACAAATTATTAATATTTGAATCTGAGGACTATATTATTTAATTTAATTTAATATTAATTAAATAATAGATCTATCATAAAATTGCATCAACTATATATTAAAAGGTGTTTATGTCTAAAGTCGATTAGACCTAGGGCATAACACTTACAAACTCCCACTTACACTATATCCAATCACTTATGTATCTAATATCATAAGAGTCTACATGACGATAATATTTATACTGCGAGAAATGTTTATCAGTAGATCTACAATATTATTAATTATGGAAATTCGTCTTTCTCTTTATGTAATTTTTATTTATTATCTCTCTGATGAGATCATACCGCCTTAATACATGTTTGAATCATTGATGAGACTTCAATTCCTTTGCTTGTACGATAGCTTCATTGTTATCATAATACAATGGCATGTGATCAACAATGTTAGGAACTACAAATTTATTAATGAACATCTGGATTCACATAGCAACTCCTTGCTGTTTCTGAAGTAATCATGTATTAGTTTTCTGCTATTGAACCAACGTTTGTTTCACGTTTGGAACCTTTCCAACATACTGCTTAAGAGTAAATCAGTTTCTTCATATAAAATCTTCTCAAGATTTTATCTATGTAGATTGGGATGAGTTAAGCAATTTTCTAAATTTATCTCTATAGATCAAGTTACTTCCCCCATATCGTTCATAAATAAATCATTTTACAACCATTATTTCAAATATTGAAACTTGGGGATGTCGTTTCCTATCAACAATATGTCTTACATATAATATTAGGAATGCAATAATGCTTCCACCATCTTCTTCTAAACACACAATTTGTTTTCATATTTGATAAAATCAAATTTTTTATTGTCTCATCAAAATGAAGATTTCAGATCCAAGAGAATTGTTTTAATCCATAGTCACGGTATGCAATTATTGCAACAAAAATCCGAATGGATTTCAGTATGGCTACAGGAGAAAGATTTCACCAAGGTTAACACTTAACATTTGCTACTAGCCTTGCTTTATATGTATGGATATTCCCATCAATATCAACCTTTTATTGTAAACTATTTACAACCTATGAATTTTATTCCATCAGGAGGGTCGACCAAGGTTCAAATCTTGTTCCATACATTGTGTTCAATTCGGATTCCATGGGCTCGAGCCATCCTTTTGAGTCAACACTTGACTCTGTCTCTGCGTAATTAGTAGGTTCATCATCTTCAATTAATAACACCTGATCAGTAATCGTGGATTCGCACCTTCTTCAAGGTCGAATGATCCTACTAAATTTGAATTGCATATTTTTCTTCAAAGGTAATTTCAATTATAAACAAGCAATCTCACAATATCAATAAAAACCTAATTTCAACAAATAACATATCGGGAATTTAAGGTAGCGGCCACAAAATAAATAACACACATTCCTTTAAGAGAATATTATAGACTACATCTAGGCATCCCGGTGTACATATATATAAACTCCTCTTGTTACAGGGCATCTCCTAAATCCTTGTCTTTTATGATTTGTAATTTAATGATATGAAATCATCTATTGTGAGTTGATGTCAAGGTTTAGTGGGTTGACATTGGATTTGGAGTGGATTATGTTAAATTTTGGCAAGACATGAGCTTTTCACTCCAAAAACTCACTTTTTATTTTTTATATGACATATACAAATGATCATAGTAGTTGTCAAGGTTTAACGGATCAATATCTGGTCTAAAAGTGGATTTCACTAATGTAGTGATCAATTATGTAACATTATTTAATTTTAGTTATTTAACGGATCGCAAGACTAAGCCCCCATTTGGCCCCCCTTTTTGGAAAATGAAAATAGATGGAATAGTATTTTTTTGAAAAATGAGTGGTTAAAAGAAAAAGAAAAGTTTTGGATTTACGTGTAATATTATTTTATGGAAGATTATGTTATTGAAAATAGGAGAAAGAAAAATATAATGTAATTTAATGGGAGCCAAACCCGGGCTAATTTTAAATCACACAAGTTTCAGCGACCATTTGCGAAAATATCTCGTTAGAAATAGACGAAAAAGATTACGATCATTTAGTGCTATTTGTGTCAAATTCCCTATATACTAATCTAAGGTCCACAAGGACTAAAGTACTCCGCCCAGAAAAATCATGGGGAAACATGAACCCAATTCCCGCCCTCAATTCCAAACCTAGCTGTATAAATAAAATTTCTCCCAATTCCTGAAGCCATACGCCATATCTATTTTAGGCTGCAGATCCGGGAACCGGAGAATTCGCCATTGGGAGAAGCAACCTTTTTCTTCAACAATTTTATTGTTTCCACGCTCATGACGGTGTTTTGCTTCAAATATCCAGATTTGATAGGTCTGTGTATTGTAGGGGGGAATTGTTTATTAATGCTATTGTAGTGTTATATAATTACAGAAGTTTATTTATTTAAATTGTTTGAAATACCCGTTTGTTTTCATTGGATTTCCTAAGATTTTAAATTGTTTGAAATACCCGTTATATTTTGATTCTTTGTTTAACATGTGGCTCTGGGGTTTAATTGATATTTGAAAGCCTTTGTGTATGTCTGATGTGAAGGTCAGTCGAAATTTGAACTGGGATAACTTATATTGCCAAAAATCATGTCGTAATCTGAGTCGAGATTCTGGCGAGGTGATACCTCCTGCTGTGCATTTAAAATCACATATCAGCATATAAAGTTTTCCAAATTCAAATCACATAAAAAATTTAATCTTGAAATATATATATATATATATATATATATATATATATATATATATCTTGAGAGAGAAAAGATGGAAGGAATGATTTTGCTTTGTGCCTAATGTCAACTAAAGCTCTTGATTGGGCGCTTCTACCCTCATACCTAGGTCAGATAGGGATCTTTCTGTTCACAAGTAGTTTTGTTGGTTGGTTAATTGGGCTCATTTTATTCATGAAATGGCTTCATCCAACCAAAGATGTACGTTATTCATTTCGGTAGTCAAATTTTTTTTTTTTTTTTTTCCATATGTTCTTATGTCTATTTTTGACAGCTATGTAATATATTGTAATTGTTTGTTTCTTTTTTAAGACATTTGAAAATAAGGGTTCGGAGGTTAGGTTTTTACGGAGTTTCTGGACCTCGACATCTCTAAAATACTCTGATGGGAAGATTTAAGCCAGGCCGTCAGCCTTCATGTTTGGGTTCTTACAGCTTGTGGTGTTATTGTGGGGTTCTGAGGGGAAGAAGAGCTCAGCGATGCTGTCCTCCCTTGGCCAATCCTTGCGACTGAATACTACTTGTATGACAACTGGAGGGTAATTTTACCTGTAGAGTTCGTCAGAAAGGTTAGATAGAGAAATTTAAGGAGACTAGAACCTAAGGAGAAGGATGATGGTGAGCACACTGAGCTGGAGGACACAAAGGATGAAGAAGGCAATGACACTGAGGCTCCGCATTCAAAATTTGCTGGTAAAAAGAAAGGAAAGGCCAAGAAAGATGGAAGCAATAATGCATTGAGTGCTTCAAGTTTTGGTTTGCTTGGAGAAGGAGATGAGGATAATGAAGATTCAGGAATAACAAAGAGAATGTTGATTATGAAAAATCAGGATAATGAAGTAGCAGGTTTTGCACCTTGTGAGAAGCAAATTACTGTTCTTCTTAAAGTTGGAAAGGACGAGAGAGCACTGAAAGTGGCGAAGAGGAAGTTGGGCACCCACAAGAGAGCAAAGAAGCGTGAAGAGATGGCATTTGTTCTCCGGAAGATGAGGTGAATGCCAGTAATATACAGGAGGTGAATGCCAGTAATATAAAGTGTTAATATAAACATACTAAATTGTACAATACTGAAGTTTTTGCATGCGTTGTTTCAATGGACTTGAGCACTTCTGTTGCTTATTGGATATCTAGTTTTATAATTCTTGATTTTTTTCGTCTGTATTTTGGCAATAAATAGTTAAATTCATCCCTTTGCTGTGTGCGTGCTCACAAATTGTTTTAATTTGAACCATACAGGGCTGCTGGAGGTGGAGAAAAGAACTAAGTAAACTGCTGCACTTGGATTTCTCGTTTTGATTTGATCATTTGGAGAAGTTTTTCATTGAAGGTTTTGCTAAACATTTTGGTCACGTGGGCTTATAATTGTGATTATGAAATGTAGTGAGTCGTACACTTAGCCCCCGTTTGGCCCCCATTCTCCCTTTCATTATTTTTCTCTCTTTTATTTTCAACCATACAATTTTTAATAAAATAATGTTACATGCAAATAAAAAACTTTTCATTTCTTTTTAACCTCATATTTTTCAAAAAATATTATTCCAACCATTAAAATTTGAAAAGAATGGAGCCAAATTGGGGCTTAATTTGAAAAGACAGAGGAATGGAGTACTCCGTGTTCAATTTGGAGCTTCAATTGATTTCCATTTCCTTTACCATTTTATTGCATCGACTTAACTTATTTGATTTGAAAATTATGAGTTTCTACCAATTGATTTAATTGATAGTTAAAAATCATTCTTTTCTTTGATTGAAAAATAAATGATGTCAATGTAATTTTTGGAGGAAAATAATCGTACATTTCCCATTTTTCATGGCCACAGAAGTAGATTTCCCATTTTTCAGTTGAAACTAGATTTCGATGCTATCAATCACGTGTGAGGTATGTGTCTTATAAAAGAATCGTAAAGAAAGGGTAAAGCCATCGTTAAAAAATCATGATTTTATGAAGCAACTATTTTTATTTTTTATTTTTTGAATCACCAACCAAAAATCCATGTAGAGCCTTTGGGAATATTTTGGCATCTACTTTGCCATTTGGTACAACACGAGTTCTCAATTACTGCAAAACAATCATGAAATTATTTTCTGCTTAAAATGGGGACGTTGGATGTCTACTTATGTATGATCAACTAGTATAAAATGAATTAAAGATTGAAATTCTACGACAAGCAAGATTTTTTAATTACAAGCAGAAATTATTGTAATGTATGTGTTGATATCAATTTCTCGCACTATTCCAAATCAGCAAATCTCCAACCAATTTGGGATTCTACATCCTTGAGTTTCCTGCATTAGGCACCAAGGTCATACGGGAAAAAGAAGTTGGCGACTGTTGTCACTTTGACGGTCAACTCAATCTCCAATAGATCTTATCACGACACGTATTACAATGCAAAGAATAAAACTTAACTCTTCAAATAATATTCTTCAACAAAACATTCCTCATCTTCCTCAAAAGCCACAAAAGGTAAAAATCAACAGTAAATACCTTCGACCACATTCAAAGCATAAAGAATCAAATTAGTCCCACCGCACCTTTTTGGATGTTTAATATCTCTTCTGGGTGTGTCTTCAGAAATAAAATACCGTGGCACAACTAGTGGTAGTGATAAAGTGGCATTACCTTTAACATCTGAATTAGAGTGAGACGAATTCTCTGATATAGACCCTTTACTATGCTTAAACGGTACTTAACTAGTCTCAATCTCTACCTAAGTACTTATTTCATGTTGATTTGTATCAAAAGATTCTATAGAACCCTGTAAGATATATAATTTAGGACCTTCTATGCACTTTCATCACAATACAGATACATTTGGTAACCTTCAGGACTCCATCTTCACATTGTATTTGTACCATTTTGAATCAAGAGTACTCTAGGAAATAAGATTTATCTTCAAATCTGAATAATGTCATATATTGCCCAGTGTCCTGATAGTCCTATCAAATGTTTCAATTTGACCCATCCAACACCAGTTATCTTACAAGATACATTATTTTTCATTACCATAGAACCTTGGAAATCTGTTTCATATGTTGAAAATGAATCCTAATTAAGACATATATGAAACATGTAAGTTGTATCAAGAATCCAATCCTCGTCATGGTTGGAGTTGTCGTCAGAAATAACTAATTGGTTTCACCTGAATTTTTTGGCCGTTTTCCCTTCTAATTAGCATCATCTAGTTTTTTTCCTTTATTCTACAACTTATAGCAATCAAATTTAATGTGCTCCTTTTTCTTGCGGTACTTACAAATTATATCGTATCTCTTGAACTTAAATCTGTTACTCACATAACCACCATGGCCTTATCCATGAGCCTTTATCAAATAAGATGCGTCATCTTCTCTTTTGAAAACAGAGAATCATATATTTTTTCAATGGTAGGAGTATCACGACTGTACAAAATAGTATTTCTGAAAGACGTAAGAAGCGGTCAGTGAACACGATAAAATCAACCCTAAATCTTCCTCACTATACTTAACATCCGAAGTTTTTAGAACAACGATAATTTCCTTAAAGACAATTAGATGATTTTCTAGAGATGTGTCTTCTGTCATATAATAAGAATATAATTGTTGCTTCAAATGTAGTCTACTGGTTAGACTTTTCGTCCTGCTTAATTGATCCAGTTTCAACCATAAGGCAGTGATAGTTTTCTCTAAACAAAGTCTTGAAGAAAATGATTCGATGGATAAAGATGAATTTGAGATAAAGCCTTTTGATCCCTATGTTATTTCTCCTCTAGCGTTCAAGTTGAGGGTATCTTATCAAATCCCAACAAAGCATCATTCAAGTCCGTTGAATGAATATTGCTCGCATCTTTACCTGCAATAACGAAAATCTATTGTTGCTATCCAAAAACAAAATATCATACTTTATAGTTGTCATTACGGAAAACAAGAATGGACAATATGAAAATAATAACAAGAACATAAGATTCACATGAAAACCCAACTAGGAAAAAAATTAGGGGTGGAGGAGAATAATTAACTAATATCAAAATATGTAAGGAGTACCAATTATGTTGGATGATGGATCATCTTTCAAGATATATAACTACCCTAATATATAATTGTTTCGTTTTTTTCTATCATAAATGTACGATATTGAACAAGTAATGTAATGGACATTTGAGTCCAAATTATCGTTTCCATGAGAACTATACTTTAGTACTTACTATAATTTCTTTATAACTACTATTTGACAATGCAAACAAAGATTTGTATATTGTGATTTTTAATCTAAATATGTGGATGCACGCAACAATTAATTTCGAATTTAAATAATGAACAAATATTAGAGCAAAATAATTTCACTTATTGATCACCTTTAAGTCTTAGATCAAGATTCACAATCTAATACAATATTTGGTCAAATTCTCCTACTGTATTCAATTTATTCATCTCGAGTTCTCATTGAGCATATGTAATTAATTCAATTCCATTTCTCTATGCAAATCAATTTCAGTAAAATGAAATTTTGGTTATAAGAATTCCTTTATGATCGCAATAATCAGTATAAGTATCTCTACATGTTATACCAATTTATCGAATTTTACTATATGGTCTAAATCTTAAACTCACCTCTCGATTCGTAAAAGATTCACAAAACCATAAAAGTAGTGATTTGGTAATTCAATAAATTAAACACATATCAAAATCAACACAGAAGATAAAAGAACAAAAATCTTGAATAAAAGAAATAAAGAATTTCGAATATGTTACATTATTCGCCCTAATATTAAATTTAGTTATTCATAACAGCAGCAGAAAAACAAGAAGTTGTATTTGAATGCAATGAAAGATGTATAAAAAGAAATTAATCTTAAAACAAGATCTTCATTTTCCAATTAATGCTTCAAAACGTGAATTTCTTGATGTTTTCCTCTCTTCAATTTCTTCCTTGAATCTCTGGTTGCATTCACTTTGTCCCAATGTGTGGAATTCCCATAAAAGTGTCAAAAACTTGTATTTATAGTTGCCTTCCACGTTAATATTGAATATAGAGTTTTTATAGATTTCAAAATGGGCAGAATCTCGCCCTAGATGGATTAATTTGCAATGCTCGAGAGCGCCAAATCCTTGTCGCCTTTCACAAGTTGTGGAGCCTCAACGCCACACCTTAGTCATGGTGGTGCCTAGGAGCTACTCGTTCTTTCATCTTCATGATTTGACTCTTTTGCCCTTTTGTGCATCTTTTCTTCTCAATCTATGTCAATAGCTTTGTTTAATCATATCTTTCAGTGTCTTTCACTATCACACCACTTCTACAAAACAACAATAATAAACACATTAAAAACGTTCACTACTCATAACATTCAGCTAACAATCAATAACAGAGTGTTTGAGTTGAAATAGAATTATAAAAACTATTAAAATAGAAATTGGAGTAATGTTCCAATTAGCCCGTCGCTCGAGCGGTGGCCTGGCCTAGCTCTTAGAGAGTACTTGGGTTCCTGAAATGTGTGCTCGAGTGCCTCCTACGGGATTGGTGAGCGATTTTACGTGATTCCTTCTCCTAATTTGACTTGGATTCCTTCAAGATTTCTTTCAGTCATACTACCAACTCCCAATAAGCCTCCAATAAAATCTCCAGTAAAATTCGGATCACACCAAAACTTTAACAAATGCCCACCTTAAGCTTTCAAATATTTTATCCATTTAGATTTATCGAAGAAGTTAACCATGGAATGGGATTCAGTTTCCCATATTTTGACAATTCATTTGGCTCATGTTTGATTTAACTAAAAATTGAATTTTCTAGTAAATTTTGATAAAAATTGATGAAATATATGATTGAAAAGTAATAATTGTATTATACAAAATGAATTTTAGAAAAATGAAAACCAAATGAAAAGCTCAATAAAGCATCCAAAGCAAGGAACTTATGAAAAATGATTTGTAGATTCGACTTTAAATTGTTTTAAAAATAAGACTTACACACAGAATTTGAATTTGATACAACTGATTTTTTTTATTTTTTTCACACTACTCAAATTCCAAAAATAAAATACTAGCACGAGAACTTATACTTGCCGATGTTAGATACTCTTTACTCATCGATTAAATTTATTTGTAATTGTGACAATTGAAATAAAACATTATTATTATTATTATTATTTTTAATAAAACGATTGTATTAGTTTGAGTTTACATTTATTTGTACATCATTTTGATACTATAAATAGAGTGCTTGTGTAGTTAAACACATTAAAATTTGATCTAAAATTTATAGTCCATAATCAGTAAATAGTGACGATCACTTTATTTTGATAAAATAAAATTCATCTTTGACTGTTGTAATAAGATTGAGTGTTCATTTTGAATATATTAAACTGGACCACGTGAATTTTTTTTTTTTTGTAACATTGATAACACAGATTTAATTTATCTTGAACGTCATACGTAACCTTGATCCCAAGTGGTAATGTACTTCAACTCTTAACTTGAAGTTCTTTGAGGGCATCAATGGGTGATATC